CGATAGCGTCGAGCTTTATAGAGAAAGTTTGTTAATAAAAGTTTGCTTACGGCGGATTCGCCGGCGATCTGCGCCGGCGAGAAGATTTAGTGGCTCCGTCGGGAAGGGGAGGCGGGTGCAAGAGCGTGGGAAAAGTTGCGGTCTCGCGCGAGAACGCGGATAAAGGCGCGAGGGCGCGACGCGCTTTTAACAAGATTACGTGCCGCCTCGGCGCTGATATACGCGACTTTGCGACGTCGCTCGAGAATTTCGGCGCGGAATCAGCCGCGAACGCGGTTAGAGAGAAGCGCGGGGTAACAAACGACTGCGCGACAGAGTCGTTCTCCGTTAGCGCGAGAATATTCACGGAGCGTACTGTGGAGGGCAGGAAACGGGAGGGGGGGGGCAACGAGAGATACCTTCAGCGGCTCCGAAAAAGCCCGGACGAGAGACATCTCGCTTCATCCGCGATTTTTCCGCAGCGTCCGCGCGACTTGCTCCGGGCGCGTCGCGAGCGGAAAGCGCGCCGAATAAAACATGCCGGCCGCAGCTCGCCCATTTCGCCGGAGCTCGTCGTTCGCATTATTCGCGATGTAGTACATGTGGCGCGGAAAATATTAAAATAATATTTTCGTTGTCGAGAGATCGCAGCGCGCGCGCGCACGCATGCACGCACGTATCGCGGAAAATATCACCTCCGCCACGGTCCACGGAAGGAATATCGAGTTCTCTCTCCCGGGTGCTTTCGCGTTTCGCGTTCGTCGCGCATTAACGATCGATCTCTCAACCCGGCTGAAAAGGGAATGCCTCGCCTCTCGTGCACACGCCGCGCCGTGTATTCTCGCGCGCGCTGTTATAAATATTAACTCGCAGCATCAACCGACGGGATGCGGGTGTGTGCGGGATGTGCGCCCTGCGGTTTCGCGCCGATGTGATTTCCAGCGGCGCCACGACCACGCGCGATGAACGGAACGCGACGCTGCTCGAGAAGAATCCGCCGGCGGCGACGTGAAAGATGAATCGCCATATCGCGATCGATCTTTACAAGGCTGTTGCCGAATATTGAGACCATCGGGGAACAAATAAATAAACGGGCGCCGTGGGTTCGATAAATTTCGAAACGACCGTCCGAATAGATGTTGGCGTGGCATCTCTCTCTCTCTCTCTCTCTCTCTCTCTCTCTCTCTCTCTCTCTCTCTCTCTCTCTCTCTCTCTCTCTCTCTCTCTCTCTCTCTCTCTCTCTCCCGGTTGGAGCATCCAGCCGCTCTTACTCGCGCGACGAAAATGAAAAAGGACGAAGAGGAGCGCGATCGTAAAAAAGTGGAAACGCCAACGCGCGACGCTCCTCGATATTTCTAAAAATGGAATACGAACAAATCGAATTCTTCTCTCCCGCTTCTCCTCGCTCTCCCCCTCTCCCCTTCTCTGCATTTTTTTCTACCGGACGACAAACTCGTTTGGAACGAGAGCAATTCGTACGGAATAGAAAAACTCGTTGTTTACGTAGAAAGTATATGTCTTATACGAATAAAAAATTTCTCTATTATAAGCCGGAAACAAAGAGCGCGCGCGCAACGTTGCGGCGAAACATTCGCGCGTTTCTTGCACACCGTGAGTAATAACGTTCGGACGAGAAAGCCGCTGCGAATTCTCCGTGAAGCCCGGAAATGGTCTAGCGCGAACGTTGGGCTGCAAAAAGAAGCGCTAGAGACGAAATTATTACGGTAGGGGAAGCGTTTCGCCGGCGGTGCCGCCTCTCGCCCGATGCATAATACCGAGGAATGCGCGCGAGCGAGACAGACAGACGGGCGGACGGAGGGAAGAAACGGTCGAAAGAAGAGGTGGACAAGCGGGACGGCGAAGACGGCTGTTTTTTTTTTTCAGGGAGAAAGGAAAGGAACAAATTGGGAAGCCGATGTGCAGCGTAATTGTCTCGCGGAGCGATTAAAATTCTGGCAAAATTGAAGGATCGTCGCGCGAGAGCAGAAACGAAACGGATTCATCATGCCGGATATTCGTCTCTGTCCTCTTATTGATGTAAATAAGAGGGATAAAAGCGAGAAGGGAGGAAACGCGCGGCGGAGATGATACCGCCCGGACGTTCCAAAGCTGCCGTAACACCGAGAGCATCGAAGGAGGCAAAGAGGAACCGGCGTATAAACATTTCCAGCGTTGCTGGTTACGAAGAACCGTGCAAAAGCTTTCATCTCGACGTGCCCGAGCCGCCTTTGGAAAAGCGCGGTACAAAGAGATTTTCCACCCTGAAGAGAGAAAAAGGCAGAAAGGAGCGGGGGGGGGGAGAAGGGGAGGAGGGCACAGCCACATACATATACACGCACGTTGATACAAAGAAATGCCGACTACGCGCGATTAAGTTTACGTGCAAAAAGGCTCAAGGACGCGTCGTGATCCGTGTGTCACGACGTACACGTGTCGCGAGAGCATGTCAGGTTCTTATCTTTCTCCAGCACTTTTACAACGAAATCTTACAAGTGAACCTCGGGGAACGTCAAACGCCGATTTGTTTCCAATTTTTTATAGTTATTTTTTATGTCAAAATATGAAGAAATCCGTTATCATTTTTAGCTTAAATTAATCTTTTCAATTTTTTCGAAATTTTTCAAGTTTTGCACAAGTATACTATTTTATATTTAAAACAATATTTCTTAAAAATATATATATCTGATTTGTTGAAACTTGCACACACAGATCGCCGATTATCAATCAGAATCATTTTGTAAAATTCAAAATGGCGGATCTAATATGGCTGACGTCATTGTTGTAAAAGTGTTTAGTTTTGTGCTACATTCGACGTTGGGTAATCTTTCGGCTCACTATCCAGCAAACAAGCTGTGGGTTCATTTTAACGTCAAAATCTGGCAAAAAATGAACAAGAAATCGAACAAAGAACTTCAGAAACTTCGAAGAAATTGAAAAAATTAATTTAAGCTAAAAATGATGACAGATTTCTTTATATTTTGACATTAAAAATAACTAGAAAAAGTTGGAGACAAATCGGCGTCTGACGTTCCCCGAGGTTGTTAGGAGCGAGCTTATTTTTCAACGATAAATTGAATTAATCTCTTTCGCGACGGACATTCACAGAGCGCGCTGATAAAAGTCTCTTGAGAAATCATATTAATTTATTAATATAATGACGAGGGGAGAGTGAGGAAGAGGGAGAGGAAAAGAGAGAGAGGCGTCACGTCTTATTCTGTCTGCCAGGTCGCGAAAGTGCGCGGGGAAAATCGCAGAATCTAACGTCAATCTAACGAAACCGTCGTTCGACGTCACGTCCAACATCGATCGCGAAACTTGCAATCGCGCCGGCGCCAGATGACATTTTTCGGTTCAAAATTCTCTAGAAACCTGAATTTCCAACCGATCATCGACACCAACGGATGAGGTTGATCCTGAATAAATTCCAAAGAGATCTGTCTAGCCGAAATTTTGAAAAAATTGTCTGTTCAGAATTCATGGGTTTCGGGTTTGTCTTAAAAATTTCGAGGCTCGAACTTAATGTTTTATAGCTGAATATTCAACGTCGAGTATTATTAGGATCTCGAGCTATGGCTGGATTGGGTTCTTGGACTATTTGGGACTCTTAATACGTATATACGGCTTCACGCATCCACGAGCTAGAAAGTCCTCGGTTTGATAGATTCTTAGGTTGATGGTCTTAAGTACTCAAAATCCCTCGCTTTTGTGCTTAACGGGTCTGTATTTGATGTTTTTGTATTTTGGGCATATGAGTTTTGAGTTAATGGGTTTCTGCTTCAAGATCGATAAATCTCGAGGTGTCTGTTGATTGGTTTCATAGTTTCAATCCGCTGAATACGCTATTAGATAGAAATAAGTGTCGAATAATGAGTATTTCACGAGTTTCTCGCGTTTAATTTTTTCGATAATTTTTTCTCTCTTGGGGCTAGTAATTGGAGAACAAAATTTTTTTTTTTAATTTTGGCAAGACAGATCTCATCGGAATTTATTCCGAGGACCTCACCTCATCCATTGGTCATCGCCGGTGATCATCGATGATCGGTTGGAAATTCAAGTCTCTAGAGAATTTTGAACCAAAGAATATCATCTGGCCCCACTGTGCGGCGCGCCGATGACACGGCGTTAACATTCAAGACTATCGGTTGCAATTATTCAATGCCACGGTGTGCAACTTTCATTGTATCGTGGTGTTACTCGCGGTAACGTCGTAGCGCTGAAACGGGCCAATTTGAACAGTCGCTCGAGCGGCCGGGATTAGCCACGATGGTGAGCGAAAACGGCGAATGAACGGCGTTTTCTTTGATCAAGAGAATGGAAATATCGTGTTAGGGCGAATCTACAATTCCAGTGTGGCTGGTAGAACTCACGACGGGCGATTTGCACGGATAAAAGCTCGGCGTTGACACTGATCTCAGGAGCGACCCGAGCCGGGCCGTGTCCTCTCGCGATCCTGCCTCCTCTGGCCCGGCAGGTCAGATCCACCCGGTAGATTTCAGGTGCTTCCCTTTTCGCGACCGGATCGATTCCAACTGTTGAATATTCGATGCGCTGTGGCCATCCGCGAGGATATAACCAGGCCGGCGTTAAACATCGCGCGTACTCCGGACAGGATCTATCGATTATCGGAATTTTCTGATCCCGACTCTATCCGACGACCGATCGTCGGCGACGTAATTACGGCGGATTTTCGCTACAATTCATTCGCTATGACCGCGCGCTTTTACATCTCATTACGACCGCGAGTATGCGAGTGTAGGCATCGAGCCACCTTCGCGCACGCGACTTCCCGGCGGATTTTCACCTCTCGGGATGTGACCTCGGAGAGCACTCGGAGTGTTTCGGCTTCCCTCGCTTATCCTTATCAAGCATGACCAGCGAGATCCCGAGTGTGCAAAACTTTGGGATAAAAGGAAAATGCAACGTACACTACTTGGCTACTACGTTTATAACGAATTGCTCGAAAGGTAACCGCAAAATAAGGAAAAAAGAAAGAGCGATGCGCGCGAGATAACTTCTCTCACCTTCTTCACGAAGGACGTTATCATGTTGTTGCGCAACATCCTGACGGTTGTGTCTCGAGCCTGTCTATTCACTACGGAGGATCTCTAGGCTTCTGTCACGCCTCTCGTCACTTCCTGCTTCCTGCCGGCATAAAGACCCCCGTATGCCAGCCGTACCCGCTGACTCACAAGCACCTCGGCTCACAAGGATTCCGTGACGTCTTCAAGGCCGCAATGTCTTGATTGGCGAGAGCTGGAGCCATGTGGCTCGGCCTCCTGCCGCGAGAGCATCTCCTGCGACCGTCGTCCTTCAGCCCCAAAGCCGCAGGCTCTCGCCGTCGCCTCGCCGCGTGACTCTGAAAAGCCAAACGAAACGTTTCATCACGCGCCTCATTAGCCGCGCACCTTCGTCGAGCGCGCGAAGCAAAAGCCGGCCGAGCCGCAGATCGGGAGATCGAGAGATAATCACAGCGGACGAAAAGTCCGGCCGGCCTTTTTCGGCCGTTCGTTCTCGAGCGGAAGTTTTCCGGCTCGTAACGGTGCCGGTTTTTAGCTCGCCGGAAACCGCGGAGTTCCGACGCGCGGAGCGAGACGCGCGCTTAATTTGATAATAAAGCACCGAATAGATTTATCATGATTATAATCATGATAAACTGCGAAGTTGGCGCGCGATTCCTCGCGGGCTCTCTGACTTTTCGCCACGTGGGGAACAGTTGCCGGCCAGAACTCGGACTCATTCGCATTTCCTCGCTTGTCACTCCGAGATGTTTCATCAAGGCCGCGTCTGCAATGATCCGACAAATTCGGGTTCCAGCCCGAATTGTTGTCGGTTCCCGATAACGAGCGATCAAACGGCGATCGCCAAGATCGCCGAAGCTTGTCCCGTCGGTCGCGCCGATTTATTTTTGCGGCGAAAGATGGATTTCTACTTGAAGAGCGGCGTCGAGCTGTTCCGAGTTGCCGCTCCATACATCACTTTGCAGTTCGCAAACAGCGCTCGCACATTAGTCGGCCGCTTTGAGAGGAATGTTTGGCCAAACGTAATCTCGTTAGAAAGTTTAGACGCTAGTAAATATTAGCCCGCGCATATTAATATCTGACTTTGTTTCGTTGCGAGACGTGTCGTCGGTCGCCGCGGACGAGCGCGTTCACGGCGTGCAGGTGACGATTAATCCCGCTTCTCCGACGACGAAGCGACCCGAGACGAAACTTTCGTTCTATGGTAATCGCGCAAATTCTGCCGAATTTCACGGATCAAAGTCGGAGAATCTCGAGGTGTAACACTGCGTCAGCGTGAGCGGAACGACGATAAGTAAGCGTTTGTACCCGACCAGAAATTTATCCCAGCAGTCCTGATCAGCTTAACCTCATTTGGACATCAGGTCCCAATAAGGTAAGTAATACTATCGGGTCCTAGTAAGTCATGTGACGCAGCGTGGATATCAGGACCTTAGTAAGGATTTATAGTCAGGTTCTTATTGAGTTACCTTATGAAATCCTTATTACGTTTTTTTTGTTCTCAAATAATGGCTCCTGATTACTCGCCACGACTATATTGGATGATGATATTAGAAATACGAAGTGACACGCTGAGAATTCTTTCATGTCATTTCCAAATAAAAAGATATTTGCATGACATAATATTTTACCATCGCTTGAGCATACTTGTAAAATGTTTCGGAAAAGAAACGTAAAATGAATATCATAAGATCGTAAAGTATCACAAGGTGACAAGACATAAAGTAGTGTTAAAGAGAAAAGTTGCATGTCACGTTAATTTTACAACTATTTATTAGCTACTAAAAAAAGGATAGTTTCTATAGCACACTGAGAGAAAAGTATATGATATTTGGAACTATAATGATACAGTAACTAAATTATAGTCCGAAATATCATATTTATAGTAAATATTACCATAATATCGGTAATAATTAAACGATATAGGCATAGTATAACCAACCATATAATATTTTTACTAAGAACTATAGTAAGTTAAACTAAAATTATTGTATGGATACAAATATAAAATGATAGGTAAAGTAACTCTTTTATATAATCAATATTACCAGAATATTTGCTAAATGATGACAGATGTAACTATATGAATATTAAATCTCACTATATTTGTGAATGAGATATTACCATATATGTAGGTAAAAGTAACTAAACAATTATTTAAGACAATCATTGACTATATATTTGTGTTTATTCTACTATATTTTGCAGGTTCCACCAACTATAAAAATATGGTTGACGCCAAAATGAACTATAAAATATAGTGACATTATAGTTAATTCAACTATATTTTTCTATCGGTGCATGTTACAAATATTCAAGTGATCTGAAGTGTTTTTTCAACAATGCAAACATCTTTATATTTGCAAATGACATCCAAAATTTGTTTTGTTAAAACTTGATAATGCAAATCATCATTAGGTACAATGAATAAGATCCCGACAAGGATCTGATTAGCCTGACGAACTGAACCACATTATATCATACACTAGGTTGGTACACTAAGGTCCTGTGGACCCAATCATTATAACCTTATAAACCTTATATTCCTTACTCATTTGTCGTTAGGACATTATAAGGACTGTCTTACTTAGGATTACCTTTCACCCTATTAGGTCCTTATCAATGTTAGGTGAATCTGATCAAAATTTCTGGTCGGGTAGCTAACAAGATGGAACGACAGCTCGTGTGTTTTGTCTCCATTTATCTTTCGAGATCGGCGGCACCGGCAGGATCATGGTAGGACTCGGCGAATTTCGACTCAGAAACCGCTATGTCGGAGTCGGTCGTTAAATTAGAAGTTATTAAGTCTCCGAACATGAAACGGCGAAGAGAGAAATCGTGAAAACAAGATCGTCCATTTTTCGTCTGTCTTCTCGAACAACACGCGCAATTGATTTATTCCGCCGTTGTTTTCCACGTCGAACACGATGCGGACTCGCGCGAGATCGTCGTTCACGCGCCATGAAATTTCGCTCGGGGAAACTGATGAAACGCGCGCGCATTGTCGCGCTCCCACGCATCCACGCACGCACGCATACTAACGGACGGCGGCAAAAAGTGCCGCAGAGCTTGTCGTTTATATATTCCAATGTGGAGTATTTTCAAGCGCTCGGTAAGCGTCGCGCCGCGCCGCGAGAGACCTCTGATTCTCCCGAGTGTAGAGCCCGCAAACGAAACCGTAATTACAAATTCAAACTTGAAAATGTCACGTCGTCCAAAACTAATAATAATGCAGCCGCATGAATAAAACATGTGGCATACCGCCGCGCGTATTCAAGTTACAATTCAGCCTTTACATTCATTTCGCTCGGCGTCCATGCGCGCTCCGCTTGGCTCCGCTATGTCGACGACTCCGCTCTCTCTCTCTCTCTTTCTCTCTCTCTCTCTCTCTCTCTCTCTCTCTCTCTCTCTCTCTCTCTCTCCCTCTCTCTTTTTCTCTCTCTCTCTCTCCCTCTTTCTTGTTCGTGTACATTCCGTAATTAACACAAAAATATCATGAGAAATACAAAGTCTCCTCCCCCCTTTCTCTCTCTCTCTCTCTCTCTCTCTCTCTTGGGACTGGCTGGTTTTGCCGGCCGAATCTCGCGCGGATGTAATTTAAAATATGCGAGAATGAAATAGCGACTTGCGGCCATTCGAAAAATTCCCGGGCTCTTCTGCCGGAAGTCGCAAAAAGGCGCACAAAAGACAGGGTTACTTGAATTTAATCAACTTGACCGACGTGCGGCGCCGTCACAATATATGCGCGCTCGCGCTCGACGCTCGTTAGCTGCAGCCTCCATCGGAAGAGACGACCGTCATACGCGACGAAACAGGAGATGGATAGAGAGGCAGAAGCAGAGGCAGCGGGAGAGGAGCCTTTGATTCCCCAGGGCGCAGTTGACCATGACTATACTGCAATTACACAATTGCGAATTCCGAAACGCGTCAGTCTGCGCCGCGCCGCGCGCCACGCCTACCGAAAGCGATAAATTCGTACGTGGTCGAGTTCGTCGATCGTCGGAGACCAACGACACGACGCCGGCGCGATTGAAAGAAGAAATTTCCCCAAGTGGAAATGATCAGCGACGACGAGGACGACGAGCGAGCGATCGGCTCGACCGGCGAGAGCCGATTCGGCAGCGTCGTGTCACGTCACGAGCCTTTTAATTAGCGAATCCCGCGATATATATCGCGAGCGTCCCGCATGCTGCTCGCCGGCTTTCATCGGGCACTTTCATCGGGCGCTTTCATCACCGCGAGTCGACTGCTCGTCGCGCCGAGCTTGTCCTTGCTTTCGCAGCTTTTGGAGCCGCGCGCTTTCGTCGCGTTCGTCGCGGATCAGGCAATTAAGCTGCCGCACAGCGAGACGAATTTCGGGGCTGCAGCCGGGTCTCATGGTCGCGTGAATCATAGTAATTACGATGTAAATGGCTTCGTTAACCGTTGCACTCGGCGGGATTAGAGCGACGTGGCTGTTACACCATCGCCGCCATCACCGCCGCCCGTTCTAACGTCGTTGTTACCGAAATTTGTTGTTTGCCGGGGCTTCGCGCGCGGTTAGGATTTTCGCGTAACGACGTTTGTCGCGCAGTTTCGCCCTCGCGTGTGTGCGCGAGGTGAACCGGCAACGGAGAACATACTTCCGTGAGCGAATATCTCGGAGAGTGTGCGGACAGTGTGAGGAGCGACTTGGACGGAGGAGGAAGTTTGACGTGCATCGTTTAACGTGCTCGATAAATCTGCGCTTGAATTTTGCCAGAGGTAATTTTGCCAAATTTTCCACAAGGGTAAATACGACACGGAGAACTTTTGTATGAAACGGCCACCTTCGTGTTGATCGCGATGTTCTTTGCGACATTCGCTCGCAATTAATTTTACCAGGTGTCCCTCGACAGATTGTTCCAACCGTCAAGCGCGCGCGTGGAGAGGCACACGTGAAATATGTGCTCCTTATATTTAGACGTTCTACATGTTCGAAGCCCATCGAAATCGCCGCAGGGAGAGGAGAGATTCGTATCTCTCCTCTCCCTGCGACACGTGTCCGATATTTCAGAGTGATATTTTCGCTCTCCAAATCAGGCGGGTTACAAGAAGCTTCCCCCGGATGCCTCGATGGACGAAATTAGAAGCAGCGGTGTATATAAAAATCCCCCTGACTCCTGATACTTAAAAATAAGCGCCGAGGATAATTCCTCGGGAAACCGTTTCCGATTCGAAACCCAATCTCTCACAATCGCGAACAATTGGCATTGAGAGTCGACAGTGGCAGGGGGAGCCGCGTCGCGTCGCGTCGCGTCGCGTCGCGTCGGCTCGAAATCCTTCGTGAATGAAACGGCAAAAGCGACGTCCCGACGCG